GGGCTCAGGCAATCCACTCACCTCAGCCTCCCAAAGGCGCGGGAATACAGGCTGAGCCACCAAGCCCGGCAAATATGGGTATTTTAAAGGTTCCTGCGGCCATTGCCTTGCTAAGCTATGGTGTGGCCATGTGCTCTTTGAGCTATGGCCAGGCTGTGTTTTTTTAAGCTTTGACCTACTCCCCTACTTTGGCAAGGCGAATCTCCAATCTCCTCTTTCTCTCTTTGTCTAATTTACTTTCTAAATAAACTATTTCTAACTTAACTTCTGTGCAATTCTTTGCATCTTTCTCGCAGCACTGAATCGCATGCCAGACACCCACACCCTGGCAGGCCTGACCCAACATTCTGGAGGCCCTGCTGGGAGTGTGACTTAACAAGACCATTCCCTCAGCTATCCATATTTTAACTCCTCTTAACTGTATAGCTTTTATATCTCCCTCACCCCCAATATGCATATGAAAATTTAAAAGGTGCCATAGTTTACTCATTACATTAAAAAACGCTCTATATCCTTATATGCTCACTCTCAATACAACTTCCTTAATGTCTAAAGTTGGGTGTCTGAGACAGAAGAAAAAAGAAAAAGGTTCTTGGTATTTATTGCCAAATTGTTTTCCCAAAGGCTCTTGTGAGTTTAAGTCTCTAGCAGGTAGGAAACTCCCGCCTCAGGACACCCTCACAGCAACAGGTGTTATATTGTTAGTGCTCTCTAACTTGCTAGATAGAAATGGCCTCTGTTAGTGGATTTGGAATGTATATCTCTGGGTCCACATCACAGGCTTTTACCCCAGGGCCGTGGGTGGAGGAATGTCCCTGGAATACTTTATCTGAGATCTTGTCTTGCAGCTGACTTTGGTGTGTCTGCCAAGAATCTGAAAACTCTGCAGAAACGAGATTCCTTCATAGGAACGCCTTACTGGTGAGTTGCATAGCTTCTAGAAATTGCAAGGTAGACAGGACAGTAAAACTCTCCAAGGTGACCTTGGCAGTCTAGAGGGAGAGGGGCCAGAAGTCAAGGAGGGCCCCTGAGTCAGCCTGTGGGTACAAGCACAGCTTCCCCGGTTTATGAGTGTGTGACCTGGGACAAGCTGCTTAGCTTTCCTGTGCCTCAGTTTCCCCATCTGTAAAATTAGGGCTACAGATACAGCAGCTACTTAACAGGATCACTGTGAGGACGAAATGAGAAGATGCTCCACGAGTACTGACTAAGCTGGGATCCCTAAACTACGGCTCAGTACTTGGTTTATTCAAGTGTGTACCAAGTGCCGCGCTCCTGCTAGGGTCGTGGAGATGCGTGATACAAATTCAGTTCCTGCCCTCATGTGTAGTCTCTCTGGACTTTTCTAGCCTGCCGCATTTCCCTCTTTTCCAGATCTATTACTTTAAAAACAAAGCTCTGTCTTCAGCTTCACACCTGGCCCCTCTGCTGTGTCCTCATGGTTCTCACTGGTGTATCACTTGCCAGTGTGGCGTTCAGACTGCTTGCTAGTTACTCACCCTTGCTTTCTCGCTCTCTCCCGTTGTTCCTCTTTCTCCTTGCCTCTCCCCTCCCTTCTCTCTGTGCCGCTGTCTTCCCTCCACCCCAACTTCATGAACCCGCTTCCCTCCCACCCATCCCCGCCAGCCCCCCAGGACTCTGTGTTCTGGGCTGCTGCTGCCACCTTGTGGTAGGCCTCAGGAACTGCAGCAGGCCGTGGCGGGGGAGCCGCGGAGGAGGTGTCTTTCAGTGTGAAGCCCACCCTAAGGAAGACAGTGGCTGCAACGTCATGCGTGGTGTGGGAGTGCTGCCAACTCCCTGATGTGGGCGTGTGGTAGCCCTTGGCCCGGACTCTCCAACGAGCGCCTGTGGAGGCCGGATTCTGAGCCCTCTGCTGTCCCTTGGTTGGTTCAGGATGGCCCCCGAGGTGGTCATGTGTGAGACCATGAAGGACACGCCATACGACTACAAGGCTGACATCTGGTCCCTGGGCATCACGATGATCGAGATGGCCCAGATCGAGCCCCCGCACCATGAGCTCAACCCCATGAGGGTCCTGCTGAAGATCGCCAAGTCAGACGCCCCCACTCTGCTTACGCCATCCAAGTGGTAGGGAGCCCGTGTGGGCTTGCCCTGGGTCAGCCAAGGGACACGCGTGGGCAGGATGAGGGAGGTGCAGTGTTAGGGCCCTCCTGGTGATGTTGGGTACCAGAGTCGGGAGAGGTTGCCATGCCTCTCTTTCCCCTCTGTGCCCTTTTTTTGTTTGTTTGTTTTTTAGAATCAGAGTCTCACTCTATTATCCCAGGCTGTAGTGCAGTGGCACAATCACAGCCACTGCAGCCTGACCTGCTGGGCTCAGGCGATCCTTATGCCTCAGCCTTCCAAGTAGCCGGAAACAAAGGCACATGCCACTGTGCCCAGCTAATTTTTTATGCTTTATTATAGAGACAGGGTCTCACCATGTTGCCCAGGCTGGTCTCAAATCCGTGGGTTCAGGCAATCCTCTTGCCTCAGCCTCCCAAAGTGCTGCGATTACAAGCATGAGCCACTGTGCTTGGCTTTTTTTTTTTGGAGGGAGGGTCAGGGTCTCACTCTGTCACCCAGGCTGAAGTACAGTGGCATGATCACGGCTACCACAGCCTCGATCTGCTTGGCTCAGGCAATCTTTCCGCCCCAGTATCCTGAGCAGCTGGGACTCCAAGGCACGCACCACCACACCTGGCTGATTTTTTGATTTGTTGTAGAGACAGGGTCTCACTATGTTGCCTAGGCTGGTCTCCAACTCCTGGGCTCAAGTGATCCTCCCACCTTGGCCTCCCAATATGCTGAAATTATGGGTGCGAGCCATTGTACCCGGGTCCCTTTCCGATTTCTATGTCCCTGTGTGGACAGTGACATTGCGATGAGAAGGGCGTCAAGTAGACTCTGTCCCTTCTACCGCTTTACCTCAAAAAAGTGCCCTCTGTCCTTTGAGGGGCACAGTGGGGCCTCTGATGAGGTGCACTTGTCTCCGCTCTCTCCGAGCTCACTGCTAACACTTTTCCTCTCAGGTCTGTGGAGTTCCGCGACTTTCTGAAGGTAGCCCTGGACAAGAACCCGGAGACCCGGCCCACCGCGGCCCAGCTGCTGGAGGTGAGTAGCTTCCCCACCACCCTGCTTCCCCCTGGGATGGGAGGACCCTGAAGGGTGACAGCCAGATGAGCTCCTCAGTGACCTGGGCCACAGGGGACAGGTGGCAGACAGGCAGATAGGTGTGTGCGTGTTGGGGATGACCGGCGCTATGGAGGAGAATGCTAGGGTGGGCGTGTCCGGGGGAGGTGGCATCTGGGAGGGGCTGCTGTCCTGTGAAGGCAGCACAAGGAAGGGCTCTCTGGGTGGGAGAGGCCACAGGAGGTGAGGGAGAGAGGTCGAGGGCTCACCAGGAGGCCAAGGCCTGGGACGGGGTGTGTCTGCCATGTGAGAGGAGGCCGGGGAGGGGGGAGTGGGAGCAGGAGCAGGCCAGGGAGGGGCCTGGAGATGAGGGTGGAGCAGTGCCGGGGTGTGTGCTCCCTGGTGCTCCTACAAGAACACCCAGGACTTGGTATGTCGCTGTCCTCCTGCTGTGACCTCCTAAGGCCAGAGGAGACTCAGAGCCCTCCCCTGGCCATGGCATAGTGGCCAGGACGCGCCTCGCCCTATGGCCTGCCAGAGAAGCTAGAGACCCAGTGGCCCGGGCTTTTACTGGGGCCTGGCACGGGCTACGTTCTGGAAGGAAGGCGTCATCCTAAGTCGTGTTGCTTGTAGGGACAGTTTGGGCGGAGTGTGCCCTCTTAAAATTACTGGCCAGAACCCCTCCAAGTCCTGGTTCCAGAGGCCAACCGAGGATCTGGCCTTCAAGCCGCCCGTTCCAAGGCCTGCTGTGCGGACTGTCCTCTGCATGTAGGGCCAGATCGTGAGGGCCCTGCCATGCCTCGTAGGCCTGAGCTGCCACGTGGACCTTACCTGTATGCATTGGGGGAGAGGCATCTGACCGCCGTTTCGGAGCCCTCCAGTTGCTGTGTGCAGTAGGGGAGTGCACTTGGAGAGTGACTCGTGGCTGGCTCAGTGGGTCTCCTAGAAGCCTGCCGAATCGCTGGAGGGAGCTGTTGGTGGGCCTTCTCGTGGCCATGCCCTGCATCGGGGCGTCACGGCCTGGGACTGCGGTGCGTGTCGGCGTGTTCACAACAGTGTTGAGAGCTGCACACACCCGCCATGCCCAAACCTTCTGATCACTGTCCCCACGCCACCACCGCAAATGGAAGGGGGAAGAGGTGGACCTGGGTGACGCAGGGGCTGCCCTCCATGCTTCGTCTGCTCTGTCCCTCCCCCAGTGTGACAGGCCCAGGGTGTGGTGGGAGAGAAGGAGGAAACCACCACACCAAGCCCTGGAATGCTGGTAGCCAACCAGCTCTTCCTGGCTACCCACTGTGTGCCAGGCACAGAGCCTGGGATTGACATTCTGGGCCACAGTGTGTCCCTCTGGGGTGTGCAGCTCTGAGTGGGTATGAGTGTGGGCCACAGTGGGAGAGTCCCGGGTTCGAATCCCAGCTCTGCCATTTACTGGCTGTGAGACTCTGGGCGCATGGCATAACCGCTCTGTGACCTGGCTCTCACTCCGAAATGGGGGTGAACAGTAATGTCCTCTTACAAGATTGTTGTGGAGATTAAATGAGAATATACTGATGCTGCTGGCTTAACTGTGGCGCACTATGCCCAAGGAACACTGGATGCATTGAATCGGTTTATTAAAAAATGAGGCCGCCCATGGTGGCTCACATCCGTAATCCCAGCACTTTGGGAGGCCGGAGTGGGAGGATTGCTTGAAACCAATCCTCAGGATTCAGGAGTTTGAAACCAGCTTGGGCAACGTAGTGAGACCTCATCTCTACAAAAAAAATTTTAAAAATTAGTCAGGCATAGTGGTGTGTACCTGTAGTCCCAGCTACTCAGGAGGCTGAGGCTGGAGGATCCCTCGAACCCAGGAGGGCAAGACTGTGGTCACATCTGTAATCCCAGTACTTTGGGAGGCAGAGGCGAGAGGATTGCCTGAGCCCAGGGACTCGAGACCGGCCTGGGCAACTTGGCGAGACCAAGTTTTTGATTTATTGTCTCTACAATAAATCAAAACATTGCTTCTGTAGGTCCAGCCACTTGGAAGGTGGAAGGATCCCAAGCCCAGCAGGTTGAGGCTGTGGCGGCTGTGAGCATGCCACTGCACTCCAGCCTGGGCGACAGGGTATAGACTGCAACTCAAAAAAATAAAAAAGAAAGAAACCAGGATGCAAAGTGGGATGTGCCTGTTAGCAGGGGTCACAATTGCCTCTTTTAATACTTGAAAAGCTGATGTGGGAGGGCCGGAAGGCCTGGTCTTCTGGGAATTGGGTGTTTGGTGGGGAGTGGCCTGAGGGGGGCATGGCGGGCCGCTGTCACCTCAGATGCAAACACTCCCAGCGCCTGGGCCAGTCGCTTCCTGCTAGCAGGCCCCTCCTGCCCTGACACGTTCAGCCCTGTACATTCCCAGGAAGAGACCAGCTGTCCCCCATCCCCGCACAGCAGCCTCAGAGCCTTGTCCTAGCCAGGAATTTGTTTATCATTGGAAAACACATCCCACCAGAGTGTTTTTGGCACACAATAGACAGGGTCCCAGAAAGGAGAGGTCTTTGAAGTCACAGAGCCCCTTCCAGAGCTCATGCTTCTGCCAGGTTTTCTCCATACCCTGTCACCTCCTGCCAGGAGGCCGTGACCCCTTGGGGACCCCAAGTCCAGGGCAGGGAGGTGACTTGCCCAAGGTCCCCTGGCTTTGAGTGACCGAGGCGAGCCCAGGTTGTGGCTTAACCAGCCGCGCCCCCTGCACTGTTTGAGCCCCCATCTCAGTCCTAGAGGTGTCCAGCTGCTCCCAGGAAGTGCCTCCTGGCCCTCATCTTTCCTGTGCTCCCACCACGGGCTGAGCAACTTATGCCCCTGGGAGTTTATGACGCATTTGTTGATGCCACAGATATTCTTTGGGCCCGGACTGCATAGCGAGTGGTTGGTACCCTAGGCCCTGAGATCAGGCACGCCGTCCCTGGCATCTGGGTCGTTCTCCTCTGTGCCTCCATTTCCTCATCTGTGAGACGTGCCTGGCGTGTGCTGCCCAGAACTGTGAGCGAATGAGACTGTGTGTGCCGCCTTTAGCTCCCAGCTGTCACAGGTCAGGTGCCCAGTAGATTCTTCTTATTTTTTTTGAGTTGGAGTCTCACCCTGTCGCCCAGACTGGGGTGCCATGGCACACTCCCGGTCACCGCAGCCTCGACCTGCTGGGCTCCGGCGATCCTTCCGCCTCAGCCTTCTGAGTAGCCGGAACTACAGACACACACTACCACGCCCGGCTAATTTTTTATTTATTGTAGAGACGAGGTCTCACCAAGTTGCCCAGGTGGGTCTCGAACCCGCAGGCTCGGGCAATTCGCTCGCCTTGGCCTGCCAAAGCGCTGGGATTAGAGGCTGAGCCACCGAGCCTGACCCCCAGTGGATCCTTGTTGAATGAGTTTAACCCTATCCCATCACAGCTGTTCTGGCCAAGGTTCTTGGGCCACTAGCCATGTCCACTTTCCTCCTCCTGACCTCAGACTGCTGGGCCCTTGGGGCCTTCCTCCCTCTCTCTGGCTGCCGCGTCTCAGTCTCCCTCCCCCTCTCCTCTTCAGGGTTGTGCACAGAGTCCCCCTACCCTCACCCATTTGTGGTGCTCCCTGCCTCACACCTCGGCCCGGTGTCCTCCCCCACCCAGACCCCGGTGCCAGCACTCACCGCCTCCCTCTCCCACCACGTCCGGATCTTTACCCACATGTGCCTGCGATGGCTTCGTAGTGCAGCCAAGAAGCTGTGCCCTCCTGGCATCTGGGCCCTGCCCTGACGCATCCAGATTGCTCTTTCTCCCACACCCCCCTCCATCCCATCAGGAAATCCCACGCCCCGGCCTTCGGCACGTGCCCAGACTCCGACCCCCCACCCTCCATGGCAGCTACTGCCTGAGCCCCGTCACCTCACGCTTGGGTGGTCGCCTCCACCCTGGCCTCCCACTTTATTCGGTTCGGAGCACAGCAGCCCGAGGAACCTTCTACACAGGAGCCAGCTTGTGTCCTGCCCCATCCAAAGATCCCTGCTGGCTCCATCTCATTCCAGGGAAAATACAGTTTCAGGGACCCACAGGGCCCTGTGGGATCTGCCCTCCCCATTCGTCTCTCTGGCCGCATCTCTTCCTCTGCCACCCTAGCCTCCCCACTGGTCTTCAGACACACCTGACATGCTCCTGCCTCAGGGCCTTTGTACTGGCTGTCACTGTGTCTGGAATGCCCTTTCCCAGCTGACTTTCCCTCTTCAAGTTGTTGCTCAAAATCAGCTGCTCCGTGAGGCCTGCCCCAACCAACCACGTAAAATGGCAAAGCCATAGCACCCCCGCATTGCTAAGTCCCCTTTCCCTGTGTCTTATTTTTCCATGGTGCTTAGCACCCAGAGCTTATAATTTACTTGCTTATTATGTTTCTATATGTTATATGACGGGGGATCCAAAAAACCCCCCAAAACTCAGATTTATCTTTTGGAGAGTGAGCTACCCCCTTGTGATCTAGAACCTTACCAGCATCAGCATACCAGCTAGCTTTGTTGTGAGAGGCTGCATTTGGCTTCAGTGAAAATTGTTTTGGAGATTCTTTCAACTCGTTTGCCCATTTCTTTTTTTTTTTTGAGTCGGAGTCTCACTCTGTCACCCAGATTGGAGTGCAGTGGCACGCTCCCGGCCACCGCAGCCTCGACCTGCCGGGCTCCGGCGATCCTTCCGCCTCAGCCTTCCAAGTAGCCGGAATTACAGGCATGCGCTACCATGCCCGGCTGATCTTTTGATTTATTGTAGAGAGGAGGTCTCGCTGCCCAGGCGGGTCTCGAACCCACTCACCTCAGCCTCCCAAAGCGCGGGATTACCGGCTGAGCCACCGAGCCTGGCTTGCCCATTTCATGATGGGTGATTTACACAAACAACCTGCCAGCACTGCACTGAGCATTCAGCAGTTTTGGACCAAAAACAGCATGACTCCCACGCCTCTGTGGATATTACATGTTGTATGTCATGCAGTATGTTG